ACAAGTTCAAATCAAAGCCAAATCAGAACCTATCCACCCTAATTAACACCCATAGCTCTAAATATTTTGTTTGGGAATTAAATTCCCCACATAGTTGAATGTTGGAAGTATATGATTCTCTTTTTTTAATTATTTATATGAAATTATACTATAAGTAATTTTGTTGGAGAAAACTTGGATTTCACCTAAATTAGATCAAAATAATCTTTATAATCATTAAATTAATATTAAGATAAGCATAATATGCACTTAATAATAAATATATATAAGCATAAAGTGTGTTATATTAAAATATTTATTTAAAAATAGAGATAATGTAGTGACAATTAGTTTAGCTTAGTAGATAGATCTAGGAAGATTCAGAGATCTAATTTAGCCTATATTAAATTAAATTTGCATGATAAAACTCAATGATATTGCATAACAAGTTGTATATAAATTAGAAGATAAATCAAAGACTTCAAAATATATTAAGCGGTGATACAAAGTAGGTGGCTAGCGTACGTCAGTGGTGATCGGTTGTGATAAATACTTTAAAAAATAATAAAAATACTTCAAAACTATTTTTAAAATTACTTGATTAATTTTTTAAAAATAAAAAAAAAAAAAGAGTTTAAAAATACACTAAATTAATATAATAAAAATCAATTTTAAAAATAAAAAAATGTTAATCTAAAATTATATAAAAAATATAGATATTTTTTCTTCTTTTAATTAGAGGATTAATAATATCATTAATATTTAAAACACTAGTAAGATATAATATAGCTATACCATGCAACAAATTGAGAATACAAATATTTGCCTATTTGTCTAATTTTTATAATTTAGAATGAAGAGCTAATCAAATCCAAAAGGCCATCATACAATTGTGATTAGTAGTAAGGAATTGAAACAACTATAATATCCCAAACTGTTCTTAGCAAAACAAGTATATTATTTCAACTATATTTTTTAGTAGAAAAGAAGAAAATTATTTCAACTTATATTCAATCTCGCAACAATTTTTTGAAATAAAGTGTATGTTCAAATAGGAGCTCCAACATGAATAAAATTTTGAATTTCTAAATTTAGATTTTATATTTTAATTTAAAAATATCATTTTTGCTTCTTCTTTTTCGCCTTGAAATATGTAAGGGTCATTCATTTAGGCTTTGTTTGAGACGGTATGACTTTCGTATCATTTTTAAAATAATTTTTTGTAAAAACAATTAAATTTTTATATAAAAAACAATTAAAAAGTCTTCTCATACAAAATCTTAACGAATTTTAAAATGGGTTAAAATGTGAGTCAATTTTATAATTATTTTAGGGTAAAAGAAATAAGCACTTAATGTCTACACAAAATTCTTTGATTTCTATTTACTACTGAAATTCACGTGTTTCATGTACCAAACATGCAAACAATAAATTCTTGCAAGATTTCAAAAGGGCATGTGCACAGTATGAATCCGAGACTTTGCAAGATGGACTGTGATGACAGATTCATAAGGGCACTTGCCGTCACAAAAGAGAGATTATTACAAGCAAAGTTCGAACGTAGAACCATTTGATTTTGTGATTGTATACAATAAAAGCACAAATACTGTCACTGTCCACTACTTACTGTTTACAAGCATGCAAAGCACAGGAGGACACATAGGTAGGACGCATGCATGTACAAGCAGGAAGGACTCATACACTTGTGTGAACTCAAACATGCAGCACGTGCTTTCCTTGGTAGTAGTACAGGTTCTTCATTGAGAAGAACGCTAACAACATTCATTAAGTGATTTTCATAAGAAAACACATTCAACAAGTCAAAGAAAACTGTGAAATATTCAGGCTCTCACAGCTAACTTACAGCTATAACATTCTTGGCAATAAAGAGATACACGACAAGCATTAATCAGCTGCATTATTCGACTAAAAAGTAAAAACAGGGAAAGATAGAATTTAATTGCAAATAACAGTCATAGCTCCAAATTCTTTATACATAGAGAATTTTTTTTTTTTTGAGATAAATGAAATTTATTCAAATTAAAAAAAAACATTCAAGGAAAGATCATAAAAAGGCCAGAACAAAAAAGACAATCAAAATAATACAATAATCGACAGAATACAAAGCAGTTTGAAAATAAAAGAAAACAGAAAATTCCTGAAGGCAGCCAAACTTAAAAACGCCATCACGTTGTCTGGTTTGGACCATCATTGAAAGAAGAGTAGACAACCATCAAAACATAAGCAAAACATCGCAAATACAAATAAACCACCAAAACTCAAGCAAAAGACCAGAATCATGCAAAGAAACAACCGTCAAGGTAGTCAAACAAGCGAAGACCATCAAGGGGTGAGCAGGAACCTGCCGCATCATTATCCTAATCCAAGCAATTGACCAATCAATAAACATCATAGCATGTAACAACTAAAAACCAACAACCAATAAAACCACAAAGGCCACTTGAGCAACATTCTATAAAAATATAACAAATCAAAGATCGAAACTCCCAAAATAATAAATTTCCTTTCTTTTGTGTTTGAGTCAACGATGTTTTCAACCCCCTAAGAAAAAGCCTTTTCCACTAAGCGATTCACATTCAAATTAAATATATCATTGAGAATCTCCTCATCAAATTAAATACATCATTGAGAACCTCCTCATCAAATTAAATACATCATTGAGAACCTCCTCATGCTCATCCAATGTAAAGGCTGTTTCTCCCAGGATCGTCTGAGACGATCAGGGATTCGTCCAGGACGATCTGTACAGAATTGTGAAGAATCTGCCTATTCGTCTGTACGAACCTGGAAGAGTCGGGACGAACAGTCGGGACGAACCAAACCCGAGGGTTTCATCCCGGGACGACGAAATTGGCACTTAATTTCGTCTGGACGATCTGTGTATATGGGAGATCGTCCCGGGACGAAAAGGACATCGTCCAGGATGATTCTGTGTATTAAATATCTGAATAGTGTTGTTTTGAAGAGAGAGAAAGTCCAGGAGAGAGAAAATCGAAGAAAAAGAGAAAAAAATGGATTTTTGAGCGACTCTGGTCCTTTTTCGTCCGTCGCTGTAGTTGAAGAAGTTGACTGGCACGAGGTAAGGCACATTCCGCCTTTCTCAATTTTCAGAAATGGGATTTTTGATTCGTTTTCTGTTCCGAATTTTGTTTCCGTTAGAGAATTTCTGGTATTATTTTCTTCTGACAAATGTTTTACCGCGTAACTTTTGGTATGTCTCTGAGATGATAATTGTGCACGTTTTGCGTATTTTCTGGAAGATTTTTATCGGATATTTTGGATTCTGTGGTGTTTTAATTGAACTGCAAATTATCAGGATGTTAAAAAATATTTTGTCAGTACAATGAAAGTCTTGTAATGTTGTTGTGGATGTTATGTGGCAATTTAGTAAATTTCTGAATCTGTGAATTTTGTGTAAATTCTGTATACTGTCGTTATGCCGCTGGTTTTTCGTACGAATTCTGCTTTTGTCCCGAATTGTACATTGAATGAATTAATTAAATGTATGCTATCAGAAGGGAGTTATAAGGGGCCAGAATCCTATGTGATTCCATTGTCTAGATCCGGGAAGGGAGACATAAGGGGAAGTTCTGAAATATGAAATTCTGTATATTTGTTCTGTTTTGGTGCTATAAGCACAAAAGGGAGCCATAAGAGAAAGAGGAGAAGTTCTGACATCTGGAAGGAAGTTCTGTTCTGAAATTATCTGTTCTGTAAAGCTGTAATGTGATTATTTTTAATTTATTTCTGTACGATTCTGATTTATTCCGTACGATCCTATCTGATCTGTGATTTGAAATTTTGTGATATATGTTCTGAACTCGGATTTTGATATGACTCCAATTTTCTGTATCTGATGTATGATTTCCTATTGATCTGTTATATGTTCTGTCTGCTATATGATTTCTATACGATTGTTCGAATTCTGTACGGATACTTTTCTGATATGTTTTCTAATGTGAGTTTCTGATTATTTTGATTGGTGAGTGATGTCTTGCTGAGCTGTTAGCTCATCCTTATTTTCTGCGTGATTTTCAGGTTCTGGGAAGGGGAAGGAAGTCTTGGACTAGAAGTTTCGTGTCTGATCTGAGATTATGTATTTTGTACTTTTGATTTTTGTACAATCATGACTTATTTGTTCTGTTCTTTCTGTCTGTAAGTCATGTACTGTATTTGTATATGATTATTTTGAGAAAAGAAAAAATAGATGAACCGTTCTGCATTTGAATGTTTATAGTAGCTCTGTGTTTTTCTGTATGTTTAATATTTGAAAGAAAGTCTGAAGCAAATTCCAAAGCCAGATCCTAAATTTATTTGGCTCCGTCACGATCCGATGCGAGCGAAATTTGTCCCGGTTGGATTATATCGTGACATCCAACTCATCCCCAACACCACCCCCACCAAATGAGGAGAAGGAACCATCAATCCAATCTATTTGAGACATACATAGAAAATAATTCTCCACAACCTAAAGTTAATTAAAAAAGTTTCTTACTTATAAATGTGTTGAAGAACAATTCGCTTATAAGCAGCTCCTAATATGTTGGTTATCGGCCAAGGTCCTAGGTAGCCCAATTAGCCAAAGTAGACCAAGATTGGCTTGGTAGTTGATCAAAAGTGCAAATATTAATGGCTCCACTAAGATTGTTGCTAAAGAAGGCTTTCAAAGCTGTGAAAGTCATCAGTCAATCAAGTTTGTGTACTACACTACAATAAACGAAACACCTAACAAGACAAAATTAAAGGAGAAACATAATCATTCACAAAAGCACCACCATTAGCAAAGGAAAGAGGGCAAAAGAAACATCATTATTAGCCAAAATCTACTTTTGTGGACTCATATGGAACACCAACAATTGCTTTGATTAAAAAAAGCAATGGAAATCAAAACACAGATTTGATCCTCCACTTCTCAAAGAAATTAGAAATTCGATTTTGAACGCCTTAAAATCTTTAAAAAAACTATTCCAAATATCATGTGGCATTAAGAGATTTCAGTATATTGAAGTTCAATCAGTAATCAATCATGGTTTCATTGGGGGTGACATTCGATAATGTTGAGAAAGATGTAATCAGTTGTAATCATCAACATACAACCACAGATTACTACCGCCATAACAACGATAGGCAAAACAAAAAGCATCCTTCAAACAAGATCAAGATATAAGAGTTAAACACAATGTGCCTACACATCAGTCAAAATAAAAAAGAACACTCGCATTTCTCTTCCATAAACCATTCAAGCTCTGGGAAGAGCACGGCAAATCAAAGGATGTTCCATCTCAAGTGACATCTTCAAACACTCAGACAAGTTCACCCCATCACTTGAAGGCAGCCACTTAAAGTTCTGAAGCAGCTGAGCAAGCCAGAGATGAACTGTAGCCAAGCCCATAGCCTTGCCAGGACAAACTCTCCTTCCTGAACCAAAAGGAGCCAATCTCAGATCAGAACCCATAATGCTCACATCTTCTTTCATGAACCTCTCAGGCTTGAATTCACAAGGATCAGCCCAAATTGATTCATCATGTGTTATTGCCCACATGTTCACCATTGCAGTTGTGCCAGCAGGAATTAGATGATTTCCAACATGAGTATCATGGATTGCAAGGCGAGCCCACGAGAGTAGAGGACCAGGTGGGTGCATTCTAAAAGTTTCTTTTACTATTGATTGTAGGTAATTGAGGTTTGGAATGTCAGAATCAGTTACATTCCTTGAGTTCCCTACAACAGCTTCTATCTCATCTTGAGCTTTAGCTTGTATTTCAGGGTGCAAAATCATTCTTGCCAGGATCCACTCCAAAAGTATAGCTACTGTATCAGTTCCTCTAAAGATCATTTCCTGTGTTCAAAAATATATATAAGTTGACAGTTTGAAGTTTGAACTCAAATATATGGAGCAGAAGCAGCTAAAAATAAAACTGAAATGTATCGAGAAACTTGAAATAATCTAAATCAACGGGCCAGGTAAGCATGATTGAGCCCTGCATGTGGTTTCCTTATTCTTGTTGAATATGCCATGAGGTCAAATAATAGCGACAGACATAAAAACTAACAGAAGAAGAATAACCAAACCTGAGCAGATAAGCACAATGAAAAAGGTTAAAATATCCCTATTTGAGCCTTGAAGAAGTCTCTACTAACATATAATATCTAAGATACACTACAGACAGCTGGTTGACATATCCTTATAATTAAGATTTCAAATTTAAGTGGAAGTCAACGGAAGAGAGCAGGAGGGGGAAGATTAAAAATAAGCTAAGATCATGGAAACGCAACAAAAAAATAAACAATAAATGAAAACTGAAGCTTATTTGATAGTACAACTGCTTATCTCCTGCATGATGAAAACTGAAGTTCAAGTCAACTGAGACATATCAATAAATATAAATTCATCATGTTACTTCATGGGCATATAAGCTAAAATAATTCATGCAGAAAATTATAATTCCAAGTGAAGATGTAGAATGTTTTTATTTAAAATGATCAAAATAGACCCAAAATAAACAGCATGAGGATGCCTAAACGAAAAACCAGAAAAAAAATCTTACCCAGAGAACAGCAACCATGTCAGAATCAGAAAGCTTATCTTCTTTCTCCAAATCAAGCAGAACATCCACAAAATCCCCAATCTCACACTTAACGCCGTTTGCTTCCCCAACCTTTCTCATTCTATGTTCTTCAATAATCTTCCCGACAAAAACATTAACCTTTTGCACCAATACCCTGCACCTCTTTCTAACTCCCTGCAAATCCAACCATCCCAGAAAAGGCAAATGATCGCTCCAATTCACACCCCCAAGCAGCTCATAACCCTCCTTCACCATCTCCTCCAGCTCCAACCCTTCTCCTTTAGCAAAATCAAAACTTTTACCAAAAACGCTCAACATCACATTATTCAAAGCCCCAAAATGCAATACCCTCTTCACTTCGACATCCCCATGCGTTCCCATCAAACAACTCACGTCCTCCACCATCTTTGCCCCGATTTCCCTACGCCGTTCACCGAACGCAGCAATACGCTTCGGGCAAAATAGATAAGTTGAAGAAATCCTCCTCAAATTTCTCCAATATTCGCCAAAAGGCGCGAAGCCCATAGCGCGATGAAAAAGAAGCTCGCGCGCAGATTCCTTAATCGGCCTGTCAGCAAAAGCTGACGAGTTGAGAATTTCGCGAGCCGTATCTGGATGACTCGAAACGATAAAACGTGTGAAGCCAACAGAGAACGCCATGAGGTGTATTGAAGCAAAACGACGTGATAGAACAGCAAGAGCGCGGTGAGCTGCAGCGCCGGCGAGGGCGATGCCGGCGGCAAGCCCACCTGGCCCGGGGATAGGATTTCTCTTACGAGTAAAAGTCCAAGCGATGCCGCCAGGGGAGATTAGCGCAGCGGCAGCGAGAATAAATAACACGATGGGCACCACCGCCGCAGCTGACGTTATCGGCGGAAGTAGGATGATCAGTAAAGACGGGAAGGAGTCGACCGCAGTTGACATCGCCGTTAAAAATATAAGATTTTTAGCGATTTCTCGGCGAAGAGAAGAAGTTGAGAAGGAAAATACCAGTTGTGAGTGAAGAAACAAGGCCATTCGAAGGCGGTTATATAGGGTTTGAATATTAACCCCGCCGGTTTATTTGTTAAAAAAAATTACTGTGGTTAGTCGGCCTCCATGTATTCACTCCTCCGCCATCTTTTCCCATCGGCCTGAGGCCGGCTAGCTATGACTCCTTTACACAGCGTAAATTAAATTTGGGACTTTGGATAACGGACACATTTTAGACCGTTAAGTGATTTGGCTTAATATTGAGATTAAGTCAATAGATTTTTTTTATTTTTTATTTTTTTTCAACATTTTTTTTTTAAAAGATAAGGAAATCCGTTGAAGTAACAATGAATAATAAGTACAGTTTACGGGTGGTTTATTTGTCTTATTAAATATCATTGCTAGGCTTTTGTTAACCACTTTTATATTTTTATGAAATATAATCTCCATTTGGTTCTTTTGAGAATTATGAGAGTATTCAATATTTTTTTATATTAATTTTTCTATCCAAATTCCAAGTCTGTTATTTTTACTTTTTTTAGTCTAATATTTTTTCTTCATAACATATGAACATTAATTTTATATATTCATTTTAATGGCTATTATTCATAAATTTATTTTTTTGTAAATCTAAACTTTCTAAATATTTTTTTATTATCCTTATTAATAATATTTATTATCATAATTATTTCTTAATTTATAACATATTTATTTTATCATTTATATTTTTTATAGCGTTCAAATTATTATTATTTTTTCAGATTTGATTTTCTCTAATTCAAAATTTTATTTAATTGTTTGAACTAAATAATGTTTATGTTAGAGGAGGGTGTGATGCATTGACAAAACACAACCAAAGCATCAACATGCATTACAGCTATATATTGTGTGATTGTATGAACTTTTTTTTTTTTTTCATTTTTTAATTGTTTTACATAAAAATCATGTGCCTCATATTCTCTATTTTATTTATTTGGTTGAATATAACTCTGTATATGAAAAAATTTTAACGCGGAGATTATATATTTAATCCGTATATTATCTATTTATCTTCCTTCCTTCTGCTTCCACAAAATATTTGTTTACCATATATATTTTTATATGGTTCCATTTGGAAGCTTACAAAATAATACACGCATTTATTATTTTCCTAAGAAAATCTAATTAGCTTTTTTTTAATAAATTATTTTTTTAAGAGAAATTCGGCCTCTCTTATTCAATAATTCGTTCGCACAAAACAATAATTTTCTAATATTTTTTATTCTTCGTAAAATTGGCTCTACGACGTCTACGTAATTAATATTTTTTAGGAACGTTCATCTGCGTAAAAATGCAGCTGACTCACTTTAATACATTATAGATAAAAAAAACAGCATCCGTAGCAAAGATCATTAAATATGTCAGAAGTAGAATAAAATATTCTAAGCAACATTGCAATAATTTTTTTGGCATGTATCTTCAGCTGAATTTTATTCATTTATGTTTCATTTGTGACAACTTTCTTACTACTTTTTAAAACAATTTTTTAATAAATTTTGATACTGAAAAATTATTTTAAGAAACAGTAAGAAAATTGTCTCAAACAAAGCCTTAATTGCACTTCTGCACATGATCTCCATCATCACATTGGTATTCCAAGCTACAATTTTGCACCCGTGAATAGACCGGCTGTTCACAAACCTCAATTTTTAAATTATAAAATCATTCTAAAATGATTAAATTTTAAATTTTTAACTTATGTTATCAATTTTTAATTTTAATATGTTCATTTTTTTATGTAATTAATATATTTACATTAAGTTCTTCATTTTAAATAATTTAAAATGCAATAACATAATTAAAACACAACATTAATAAATGAATTAAGATAAATTTTACATATAAATTTAAAAGACATCGAATGATAAAAAAATACATAGTTGACAATATAATGTGGGGGCAGCATACTAATTATTATGATGTATAATTGCATGTTTATTTTTTTCGTTTCCATTTATGCATTCTAATGTAATTTTCATCTTATTTTAATAAGTATTTATTTTAAAAATTGTGTATTTGTATTTTGAATAAATTTATTGAGTATTTTTTTTTAAATTATATGTTGGTCTAATTTGAAAAATTGATAAATATAAGAGTATGATTAAAAATAAATATAAAAAAAAACATAGTAAAGGAGTTTTGTTATAAATGAATTATTTTTTGATATGATTGTTATTGTATTTTGAAATGAAAAATGAGTTTTTCTGTTTGAGACGCCCATACTAAATACACTTTTTTTGTTCACAACAAATTATTTCTTTATAGTAAATTTGGCTATTGCAAAATAAAATTAAAATATGATTTGTTGGAAATATATGAAATATATGCGTACTTTCACTGCCATTAAAATAGGCTTTCGCAACATTTTTTTTTTTATAAATGAGAATCAGAGGAGTAAAATTAGTCATAATGGGTAAAATGAGTCAATTAGGAAAAAAAAGAGTGGAGTAATAGGGAGGTAATAATTGATGCCTATGCCTCCTTTTAGCGGAGGCTTGGAAAGTATTGCCAATAACTAATGCAAAAACACCCATTTTTTATAGTGTTTAAATACAATTGATATGTCACCAAAAAATTAATCTTGATTTAGCACGAATCTCAATGTAAATATGATATTGTCGAGATTGAGGCTTTAAAAATTTAAAATTGGGACCATCCAAATTATAATTTCAATAAACTTATAATTTTGTTATTATGTCTTGTTTGTATATGACTATTCTTAATACTCATGAATCTTGCCAATGATTCATAAATCTAAAACGTTCACCAAATTTCAACAATTTAAACTATCTGTAGAAAAATATTATGTGACATCATTGTTTGATGTCTCAGTACATTATGTGCCATATTAAATACAAATTAGCTATTTATTTTGTAGTGAGTAGAGAAGAATTAGACCTTTAAGAAAAGTTTAGAGTTTAATAATTACATTAGATTAGAAGAGAAGAAGAGCAACTTGGAGGCACTTGTGTATTTGTCTAGGTTTCAATGGAAAACCTATTTGGATTTTAAGAAATCAACTAAATATAGCAACTGATCTTCGATGGAGACTTGAATGTTATTGGTGAGAAAAAAAATTTTCTTAGAGCTATCATTTATGTTATTGGAGGGGAAAGGAAAATACTTTAGAGTCAATAAGATTATTTGTTATTCAGGTTTTATAACATTTGAATGACCTTTGTGATTTGAATGGGAATCTTTTGAATATAGAAATGCAATGTTGGTGAGTTAGTATAGCTATTATAGCATTTAGAATACATCATGTGGATCAAATAGTTATACTTTTTTTCATTATGAGCTGAAACAAGTAGTTGTTAATTTTTAGACTATCCACCATCACATAAAATTTGGTATTTCACATCATTCATCTCCTGACACGTACAATTGATCGATATTTTAAATCCATTTATAAAATATGGTTCATTCACGTGCTAATGATCACTTAGTCCTCACTCCTTAAAGAAGATTTAAGGTAGAGAAAGATAAAGCCAATGATAAGATATGTCGTAACTCAAATCAACGATTTGATTTTCTTATTAATGGTATTCACTGTACACTTGTATTTATAGTATTACATGTGGCTGATAATTGTTTCTTTAATGCTGACATGTCCGCTGTTGATATTGTGCATCTGGTTTGTTACTTGGCGGCTAGGATCGTTCGCTCCTTTTTATCCCCCTTCAAGCTGATGGTTTTCGCAAACCCTCAACTTTACTATGAGAAAATGATATCTTGGAGTAGAAACATGTTTTGTGAAGATGTCGACGATCTGATCTTCTGTGCTGATCGATTTAACTCGAAGGATATTCGAGTGAATCTGGTGTAGGGGGTGTCAATTCGGGTCAGCGGGTCGGGTTGGGGTCGAACCCGGCACTATTCGGGTCAACCCGAACCCGACCCGTTTTTAAAAACGGGTCAAGTTTTTGGACCCGAACCCGACCCAATTCAAGTTCGGATCAACCCAACCCGACACGAATGACTCGAAGTTAACCTAAAATTGCTAATTTTCGGGTCAAAATCGGGTCAATATTCGATTTTCAGGTCAAAAACGGGTCAATCTCGGGTTTTCGGGTCAAATATTAGTTTTCGTGTCACTTTCGGGTCAATTTTGGGTTGCTGGGTCAACCCGAACCCGACCCGATTTTTAAAACGGTTTGATTTGTTCAACCCGAACCCGACCCATTTCGGGTTTGGGTCGTGTCAAAAATTGACACCCCTAATCTGGTGTCTTATGAAATGATGATCTATCTCGATGTGTTTCATTCTCGGGTGAAACACCGGGTTATTAGCTAGGGCTATAGTGGACGTATTATCACAATGAAGATATGTTGGATGCAAAACAGGTATTTTGAAGTCTTTAAGTAGTTGTCTTAGCCAAATAATGTCAGTAATAGCTGCTGCCAGAGCTCTGTATTCTGCTTCTGTAGATGATCTTGCTACGGTATGTTTTTTCTTTACTGTCCATAAAATCGGTGTGATTCCAAAAAAAAAAAGCAGTATCCTGAGGTAGATCTTCATGTTTCTGTGTCTCATGCCTAGTCTGCGTCTGAGTATGCTGATAGATTGAGTGATCTAGGTGAAATCGGTATGCCGTAGTCTTCTGTCCCTTTGATGTATTGGAGTAACCTCTTGAGCCGATATGCATGATATGGTTATGGATCATGCATGTGTTGGCAAAGTAGGTTTACATGAAATGCAATGTCTGGTCTTGTTATGATTAGGTATTGAAGTGATCCAATTATTTTTCTATATGTATATGGGTTTGTGAAAATGGGATCATGAGGTATATGTTGTGGTGGTTTAGTACATGATAGGTTGGAAAGAGGTTTGCATGTATGAAGTTCGGTGCTTTGAAGTAGAGATTTTGCATATTGGGTTTGGGATAGAAAAAGAGAGTTTTTATGTGTGGTTATTTTTATGCTAAGAAAATTATTTGATGTGCCTAAGTGTTTCATGGAAAAGGTATTTTGCAATTTCAATATGATGCTAGATATGAGTACTGGG